AAAGCCTCTTCTACTTCAACCTCACGGGGCAGAGGAACTGGTTAAGGAGGCTTAGCCCAAGGAGAAGCTGGCCCACCCTCCGGCAAGTAGCTGCCAGCTGAATTCTTCCCCTGTCCCATGTTCCTCATGCTGTGATGACTGAGGAGCCACAGAAAATAGCAGATAAGGGTCTCACTGGCCTGAATGAGCAGCTAGCAGGGGTAAGGAACCTTCTTTCTGCCGTGGGCCATTTGGATATTAAAGCATCATTCACAAGCCACACAAACTATCACCTTAAAGATTAGCCTGCTATATTTGATCAAACATTTAATTAACTCACCCCTAATGCCTTGGCAGGGCCAGACCAAATAAATGATTTTGTGGACCTCGTACGCCCGAGGGCCAGACGGTCCCCACCCGGGATAGACGGACAGAGACAAGGCGCATGGAAGCCAGAGCTGCGGAGTGAGGAGTGGGGAGGGCGAGGCTGGCACTCAGGAGCTGGGTCCTTTTTCCTCTTCTGGAAGCGCCGGAACTTGCCCTGAATGGCCAGGGCAGCCTTCTCTGTCTCCGGCGCTGTCAGGTCGATGTCCACCTCCTCCTCCCCACCCTCGGCCTTCTTGGCATTGCCAGCTTCCCCTGCAGGTGGTGAGATTCCCGCGTGAGTAACCCTGCACCGCCCAGCCCTCCTCCAGGCCCCAAATGCCGAGGTCAAGCCCACTCCCTGTGGCCTCCGCGGGCCCTCAGAAAGCCCAGTGCCGCCTGGAGCCAGAGGCAGGGACCCAGGCCCCGGAGAGCTCCGCTGCGCCTGCACCAAGACCACAGGTGCCTCTCACCACTTGTTCCCGAACCTACAGTCCAACCCCAGAGCTCATCGTGTTCCCCAGCTGTCCCTCAGCTTCCAATGAAGACCGTGGCTGGATTATTGATTAGTTGCTTCCTGTCTTGGGCCTGTCTCCAACCACTCCAGAGCCAGTTTCTAAAATCAGAGAGTAAACATTGGGAGGTGTGCTTCCTGGGGAAACGTGGCAGGAAGCCGATAGAGACAGTAGCTCCAACCCAGTGCTCTCTTCCCTTATCCGCGTCCAGGGCTCCAGACTTACAGCCCTGCCTGTCTTCATGCCCAGGTGTCACTCACCTGCTCTGTGACCTGCCCAGCCCCAGCCACTCACCCTTCTCCTCTGGGCCAGGTGCCTGGTTGGCTGCTGGGGATGTTTTGGTGTTAAGCTGGGAAAGAAAAATCAGAATATTAGATATTCATGGCAGTATTATGGTGCCAACCCCTTCAGACTCACCCTCATCACGTCCCAGCCCTCCTATTACGAGGCGCATTCCCTAGTCTTTTGAAGAAGTGGGTATTGAGATCAGAGAGGTAGAAAGTCATCAGAATCCATTCAACAGGTGTTTATTGGTGTCAGGGGAATTGCAGAGGACAAAGCAAAAACCTCGCCCTCGTGGAGTTTACATTCTAGTGCAGTGATGGCGAACCTATGACACGCGTGTCAGAGGTGACACACGAACTCATTTTTTTGGTTGATTTTTCTTTGTTAAATGGCATTTAAATACATAAAATAAATATCAAAAATACAAGTCTTTGTTTTACTATGGTTGCAAATATTAAAAAATTTCTATATGTGACACGGCACCAGAGTTAAGTTAGGATTTTTCAAAATGCTGGCACGCCGAGCTCAAAAGGTTCGCCATCACTGTCCTAGTGTAAAGATTAATAAATAAAATGGGACAGGGCATACACCTTGGTTGCGGACACATCTCCAGTAGGAGGTGTGCAGGAGGCAGCTGGTCGATGTTTCTCTCTCATCGATGTTTCCAACTCTCTATCCCTCTCCCTTCCTCTCTGTAAAAAATCAATAAAATATATTAAAAATAAATAAATAAATAAAACAGCCCCTGGCCGGTGGCTCAGCTGGTTGGAGGTCATCCTGCGCACCAAAGGTCACAGGGATTCCTGGTCAGGGCTCATGCCCAGGTTACGGTGATCCCCAGTTGGGTGCAATTGGGAGGCACTGATTGGTGGGATGTTTCTCACATCAGTGTTTCTCTCTCCCTAAAATTAATAAAAACAAACAACACGGGTATTATGTCAGTGGTGCTAAGTGCTACAGAGAAAGGCAAGGAAGGGAGGTAGGGGTGCAGGTGGACTTGGGGAACTACGGCTCCACACCAAGTGCTCAGGCAGCACCTGAGAGTCGGCGGCCAGCAAGGGCTGAAGGAGAGAAGGGTCAGGGTGTGGTAGCCAGGCAGGAGCTCTCAGGGGCCTGGAGGTAGGGATGGGGGAGGGGGGTGACTAGCCTGTGTGAGGGGACATTACGAGTCTTTCTAAGGAGTTTACTTTCACTACAAGTGAGAGGGGATGACATGCAGTTGGCACAAAAGGGGCCCAGGAGAGGAAGCAGAAAACTAGGCAGGGTGATCAGCCTGGGTCAGCGCGGTGACACTGGAGAGGAGTAGTGGTTTGATTCTGGGTATATTTTCAAGCTATGAGCAATGTAATTGGTTGAGTAATTGATTGGATAAGAGACATTGCAAGAGAGGAGTCAAGGATGACATCCAAAGAATGTCATTTGGCCTGAGGAACTTTAAAAAATGGAGTTGCCATTTCCCAAGATGGAAGAGCCCCAGGAGGAGACTGAGAGGGTCAGGAGCTTCTCTTGGACAATCTGAGATGCCCACTAACTATCCACGAGGAGAGGCTGTTACAAGCAGCTGGGTATTGGAGAGGAGGTAGAGAGAAGCGTCTGCCCTGCAGAGAGAAATGAGCAGCAATTCACATGTGGATGGCGTTTAAAGCCAGGGGGTTGGATGAACCACCCGGGGTGAGTTCAATAGAGCAGACAGAGAAGAGAAAAGGGTCAAGTCCTGGAGTATTTAGTGATTAGAGGTTACACCAGGGGTCCTCAAACTTTTTAAACAGGGGGCCAGTTCACTGTCCCTCAGACCGTTGGAGAGCCAGACTATAGTTAAAAAAAATATATGAACAAATTCCTATGCACACTGCACATATCTTATTTTGAAGTAAAAAAAAACAAAACGGGAACAAATACAATATTTGTATTTGCATGTGGCCCGCGGGCCGTAGTTTGAGGACCCCTGGGTTACAGAAATGAGGAAAAATCAATAAAGAAAATGGAAAAGACGTCAGGTGGGAGGAAAGCCAGGAGACTGCAGGAGTTCAGAAACCATGAGAAGCCATCACGTCCAGGAGAAGGAGGGCTGCCCCACCTGCAGGCCTGTGCTGCAAGGAGTGCTGAGCACTGACCACTGGGCTTGCTGCAGAGATCATGGGACACTGACAAGAGTGGGTGCGAGGGAGGTGGGAGCAAACCCTGGGTGTGGTGGGTTCATGGGGGACAGAGAGGCACATTCTATAGTCCCATGATCTCTGACTTCAAGTCCAACACTCTATTGCCAGCACATCCCTGACTCTAGCCCTTGCTTTAACCGTTTCCTTCTGTTGGACTCTGAGCCTGTTCCCTAATCCATCCGTTCTTTTCTCTCACCACAGCCCCTCTAGACACCTCCCCTCTCTTCAGTTCTACTTCCCTTCCCACGTCAGCTAACTGTGAGACCCCGCTAAGCAGGAAAGTGTGTCCCGACTGAACCCCACAGGCTAGCCCGTTCCTCTGCCCACCCGGCCAGGCCCCTTCCTGAGTCTCTCCTGAGATCACTGACCCGGAATGGAGCCACGACACAGCTACTCTCTGGCCCCCAAGGGTTCACAGCTCCATCAGGCTTACATGTTAGAGGTCACCGGGAGGTCAGAAAAGAGTGCTTTAAAGAGAAGAAACCCCAGTTACCCACAATGCCCTCCGGAGACTTAAACCATCTCTCCTGACCAAGTTGTGCCATTCACCTTTGTATGATAAAGATGGTCTGTCAGCCCCTCGCCTCAGGACAGTTTGTCAGTATTGTCTTGGCAAAGCACCTGCACAGTCAGAGCAGAGGATTTAGGTGTTGTCTCCCTGTTGCCACTGCTGGTGGACAGGCACTCGTCACTCTAGCCCACTGGTCCTGCCGCTCCTCCAGCTGTGCTTCCGACTCTCTTTGTCTCCGTTATTTTTAAAATACATGTATATATATTTTATTGATTTTTTACAGAGAGGAAGGGAGAGGGATAGAGAGTTAGAAACATCGATGAGAGAGAAACATCGATCAGCTGCCTCCTGCACACTCTCCACTGGGGATGTGCCTGCAACCAAGGTACATGCCCTTGACCAAAATTGAACCTGGGACCCTGGAGTCCGCAGGCTGGCGCTCTATCCACTGACCCAAACCGGTTAGGGCTGTCTCCGATATTTGTAATGGTGTTGCCTCAGCAACCACTGTCGCCAGGAGAGGCAAGATAGTGTCACCCCCTCTGCTCCAAGCAGCAGGTCAGAACTAACCTTGGGAAAGGTAACCCACCCAGCTTTCCCCCTCCTGAGCCCGTGGTACTCTTTAAAGGGGGGTCAGCGGGCGTTGGCAGCAGCAGCAGACAGGACGAGGCAGCACGTCCCCCCACAGCTCTGCACGGAACAGCTCGGATGCCGTGCGATGGAAACACGTCACACACACAGTACAGCAGCGTTGCCAGAATCGCTCTGTCCAGATGAACAAACACTCAGAATCCCGTCCCACAGCCCAGGGCAGGGCAGCGTAAAAAGAGCCTGAATTCGCCGAAACCGGTTTGGCTCAGTGGACAGAGCTTCGGCCTGCGGACTGGGGGGTTCCAGGTTCGATTCCGGTTAAGGGCATGTACCTGGGTTGCGGGCACATCCCCAGTAGGAGATGTGCAGGAGGCAGCTGATCGATGTTTCTCTCTCATCGATGTTTCCAACTCTCTCTCTCTCCCTTCCTTTCTGTAAAAAATCAATAAAATATATTAAAAAAAAAGAGAGAGAGAGCCTGAATTCTAAAAATCCTAAACACGAGCCCACAAGACCCCTTTTTGCCTGTGTGCTGACGTGAGTCTAAGGCTTTGTAAGCTCCCTGCTTGCTTAGAGGCAGAAGGTGAAGGGAGACAGAAGTTATTGCTTCCAAGTGGAGACAAAGAGACTCTGCCTCCCTGCCCCCACCAGGGGCCCTCTGTCCTGCTGACATATTCTCCCCCATGTTAAGTGAAGGTCACAGCCAAAGGACCCAGAGAGGCCTGGGCGCTGGCGCCAGAAGCCCTGCCTGCTGGTTCTGGAGCACTGCTGGGGCCAGGCCGCCTCTGCCTGCACAGCCTGCGGTCCGCCACCTCCAGAGGCTCGCTCAAGGTCACCCTCAGGTCAGAACAGAAACAGAATGAGGTGCACGTTCTTCTCCCAATACATGGAGTAAAACCCAAACACCTGTCTCAGATGCCTCCTATGAGGACTGCAGACCCAGCCCCCGGTCTGTCCCTCTGTCCCTCTGCCCTCAGCCACCGCACCCTGTGCCCTGGCGTCAGAGGCAGGTCCCTCGGCCTTGCTGGCTCAGGGAGGCAGTGAGTCAACAGCCCTTCCGTCCCCAGCAGGGCCTGCGGCAGGGTAATGAGCGGTTATTTGAGGTGCTCTGCGCACAGCGTGGCAGGGGTGGGGGGTGGGGGTCAGGGAGTGGTGCCAAAGCCTCTCCCCGACTGTAATCTTCAGGCGCATCCC